TTTCAACTGTTATCTATGTCCCTATCCAGGGATCGGGTTGATGAAGGTTTCCTATGTGCAAATCACTTCAACAGCCTTTTAATCCGAGGTCGGTGACAATCCTTCAGGGGGAATATGTCTTCAGCATCTTGGAGTTCAGAGAGCCTTTCGGTTCCAAGGGATCTCTGCATTAGTTCAATGAACAACTAGATGATATTTTGTTCCAAAGATTTGGTGTCTGCTCATAGATGTATGGGAACTGCTCACTGCTGATGGGGGTACCTCTAATCGAGGATTCAGCGCTGGACTCCCCAAAATTTCCTGGCTGATACTATAAGCCAAGAAGCCCTGGACGACAATTAATTTTTTCTTATCCAGAAGTTTCTGTGGATCAGCAGCAAGTCGGGTTATCCAGACCTCATCCTGATGGTAATCCCTCAGAGTACAGACACTCTTTGTCAAGAAAACGTTCTAAGGGAGAGAGTAATGGATATTTAAATGCATATGCTTCCTTCAGTCCAAATGGATTGGGTTCCTAGATGGTACCCACAATTACCGGGTAGGGTTCCCTCTCTTGTAGACTCTGACCCTTCTAGTCATCCTTTATATTCAGAGCTTCTACACTGGATGCTACATCCAAAAATACCTTAAGCGACTTGGAGGTTGGACGTAGAGTCTGCCTTGCCTGGATTATTCATCTCCTGTCAATGAGTGTTTGTTGAATAATGGAGCGCCTACTAAACATCACATTATATTCTACAATGTGGAATAATTTCATAGACTTCACCAGCTTAATAGGTTTTGTCTCTCTTTCACCTTGCCATGATGGATATATTGAACTTCCTTCAGGCAAACAATGTGTACTTGGGTATTAGTACTCTCTATATATTAATCATCAGACACAAAGGACTTGCAGAAGAATTTACTCTTCAGTAGAATCTCTTTCCGTTAGAATCTACAGATAGTGCTGTATATGTTCTTCCTTCCTCGACTTCATCTAGATCACGCTTACTCAGGATGGACAGTAACGTGTAAAATAGTTTCTTACAGCAATCTCCTCGGGGAGGAGGGTGTTGGATAGTCAAGATTAGCCTTCAAACCACCTTATTGCTTCCATTTCACAGACAAGTTTTTTGTTTCAGCTTATGCCAGAAATGTGGCTGCTATGCTGGGGAGGAACATAGAGGTTACCTCGTCTTCTTTCAGGTCGATCTGTTCATCTTTCTGGTGCGTTTAGGAAGTAGCACTCTGTGTGCATGAGGTCACATGCATTGTGCCTGATCAAGCAGAGGGAGCCACAGATTAGTCTCTGGGTTGGCTCTTCCGAGGGATGTCTCCTTACGGATAGAATTTAGTGATGTACCTCCAGAGTTATTCTG